CTCCACCCTCTCATCGCCTCCGGCCTCCAGCCCGCGCGCGACCCGACTGCCCACGAAGCCGCCGCCTCCTGCAGGACGGTGCCCCGTCCCGTTCCGCGCGGCCGCCTGGCTTGGCCCCCGGCCCGGGTCCGCTCCGCCGCCGCCCTGCGCCCTTTGTGTGCGGGCCGCCCGCCACTCCCCGTCCCCGGCCCGGAACGGAGGGGTCAGGGGTGAGGGGTCTGCAGGGAGAGCGCGCGGGGCCGGCGTCCCGCTACGGCTTCGTAGTGAACTTCTCAGCAAGTTGCGGCTGATTCGACGCCCGAGGTTCCGACTGTGCTCCCGGGAGTCGAGGACGCCAGGGTGCTGGGGCCCGCTCTGCCTCCCAGCCGAGGCCGGGGAAGGGGCGCTGGATGTCGGCTGGGGGTTGGGGCTCAGTTCAGCTGGAGGCGGGGCAGGAAGCCCCAGGTCGCGCTCCGCGTCCCCACCGCACCTGCCTGCCTTGCGCCTCCTCTTACCTGGTGGCTTTTTTAACGAAGTAAGAGAAGGTGAAGTCCGGGTGATCGTCCAGCCACGCTTCCACCGAGTCCCGGTCCCGCGGCAGCCGCGCCGAGCGCTCCATGTCCAGGGCCGCGCGTGTCTGCGGCGCGGGTGCCGCTTCCCACGCGCTGTCCGTCTGTCCCTCGGCGGAGCGGGGCTCTGCGCACACCTCCCCTGCGCCCCTCGGGTCCCCGGGCTCCCGGCGGCCGGCGTCCCTCCTGGGGTCCGCGGGGCCGGGCGCTGCGTGCCGAGCTCTCCGGAAGGGAAGCGGTCGCGGCTGGGAGGGCGCCAGGCGGCCTCTGGGGTGCGCTGTGTGCCCGACCAGCTGCACGAGTGCGGCAGATGTGACGGTGGGTGGGTACCACCCGGAGTCCAGAGGGCGAGGAGAAGGGGAAGTTGCACCGGAAAGTGAGCGGGCTAACCTGGGCGCTTTTCCCTGCCGTACTGGTTCTCCATAGCAAGGCTTGTGGGGAGGAGCCCGGACCCACCTGCCTCCCGAAGAACAGGTCGCTGGCCGGTTCATCTCGGGGAATGGAGCTTTCTATCAGTAAAACAAAAACGTGTCAGCTAGGATGTGCAACTTCCCACGAAACCACAGTCGTGCCTTTGTTTTTTAACTCTGAGTTTTGCTGCTGCATGGATAGACGTACTCCTGTGTCATGCGATGCCCTGGAGACCAGAAGAGGGCGTTGGACCCCCTGAAAGTGGAATTTTGGACGGTTTGAGCTGCCATCTGTGCCATCTGTATCGGGGAACCAAACTCCTGTCCCTTGCTGCAAGAGCGGGCAGTGCTCTTAACTGCTGAGCCATCTCTCCATCCCCTCACACACCAGGGTTTAATGGCAACAGCTGTAAATTAAATGCGTTGAACCATAATATCAAAGGCCCTCTTTGTGTAATTGCAAGATATTTGCGGGGGAGGGGGGTGCTAGACAAAAGAAGTCGCCTGTACTTGTGTGTGAAGTTAGAAAACAAGAGTACGTGTGTATAATTTAAAAACACTAGCATTAACTAACCAGGTACAACTGAGAACACCCAGTTTGCCCAACTTAAAGTCAATTTGTTTTCACTCAAATCAAACACCCCCAAGTAGTATCCACTAAAAAGACCTCAGCCTTCCTACTCTGTTTCTCTGTCCTTAACTCCTATTACATTGGTTTCTTTGTCTTTGTCCTTATCCTAGTGTCCCTATCACAAATTAGCAGTTTAATATGGCATTTTGCAATGACCTATTTTTTTTTTAGCACAATTATATCTGGAGCTGTATATTGCCCAATGTGTGAATGACACCGTTAGCAATGATATTCTAGCAGTGGTTTAACTGACACACTTAAACTCCTTCAAAATACATATGGCAAAAATGTAAGGCATTACTCACCTCATAGAAACACATAGTTAAATTGATAATATGGGAGCTTTTAGAAATTTCTTCTGGGGCCCTGATGCAGTGGTTTATTTTCCTGCATTTGTAACTTCTGTATCTCTGAAACTTTACTGTTGTACACAAGTAACGTACCAACATAAAGCAAGCGAAGTCATAGTGAAGTAATGTATGATAGATTATGTTAGACTTAAAAATGACAGTTCTCTTTTAATATGATACTGTAATAGTAATTATATTTGCTCAGGGGATAGAGACTGTCTCTGCTTTGAGGAGTCTGTTGTGCACATCTCCTTCCCATATCGCTACATTCCTCCTAACAGGAAGTCAATTAATTTAAAACTGAACTCATCGGGCTAAAGATAAAATTTGGGGCTTTGAATGTTTATGCTTACCTCCAAAGTTTCGTGTAGACACTTAATTCTGCAGCTGGAACAATAACTTAGTGGTTAAGAGGCTTCCTGGTTTTGCAGAGATATGCTCCCAGCATGCGGGTGATAGGAGGTGGTGGTGGGTCTCACAACTACCTGTATTCCAGCTCCAGGGTTATCTGATGCCTCTGGCTGTTGCCAGTCAGCACTCACATGCACAGACACACAAAGAAAGAAAGAAAATTCCAGCACATCAGTGTTAAGATGGGATCTTTAGGTGATTAGATCCTCATGAATGGATTAGTACCTTATAAATGGCCTTGAAGGGGCAGGTTTGCTACTTACATCCCTTCCATCACGGAAGGACGTGGCGTTGCTATCTGTGGAGGATGCAAGGAGGAAGACATCAAGTCTATCGGCACCTTGATCTTGGACTTCCCAGGTTCCACAATTAAGAGAGACATTTCTGTTGCTGTTAAATGGCCAAGTCTGTGGTATTTTGTTATAACAGCATAAAAGACAAAAAGAATGGACAATACTCAAATGTCTGTTTTCTTTCCTAAACTTTAAAGGTTAAATTATCTGAAAAATTGCTGCAAGAGAAACAATCCAGGATTCTCCCATCGGTGAATCCAATCCCAAATGACTCAAGTAGTGGGAAGGGGTTACTGTAAGGCCTGTTTGTTACCCAAGAAATGTATACTAAGGGACTGAGAAAAAGAACTGTTTCAAAAAGTCTCAGGGAGGTTCAGATAATATTTCTTCTTATAACTTTAAAGTACATACTTAAAAGTAAGCATACTTGGGGGCTGGAGCAGATAGCTCGGTGGTTAAGAGCACTGACTGACTTTGCAGAGGCCCTGGGTTCGGCTTCCAGCACCCACATGGAGGCTCACAACTATCTGTAACTCCAGTTCCAGGAGATCCAACACCCTCTTCTGGAATGTACAAACAGCAGGCATGTGTGTGGTGCACCTGGTACAAGCAGGGAAGATACTCATTTACATAAATAAAACGGATAGAACTTTTAAAGAAAACAGCATATTTTGAACTTGCTTTACTAGTCCCTTGTTTTCTAGCTCTTTTGTTCTCACCCTCCTCCCTAGTTTTCTCAGCTGTTTGTCCTTCAACTTGTTGGGATACATGGCTCTACCTATCTCAAAATTTGGCTTTGGAATGAGGTGAAGAATAAGTAAATTAAAAATGTTACCAGAAAATAACTTTAAAATGCTGTCAATGCTATTTATAGCAAACAGAACTGCAATAAGAGCATGAAGATTCTCCATGTACTGTATTTCCATTCAGTTAGACTCAAACTCTACCTCCGGCATGCTGTATCAGTCAGCTTTCTGTTCCTGTAATAAATGGGAAGAGGAAGTGTTTATATGGGTGCATACTTTTCATGCTATCAGACAATTGTTTTGTGCATGTGGCAGCATCGAACATAACCATGACAGGAGAACCCGTTCACCCAATGACAGGTGCTAAGAAGAGTGAGGGGGATGGTTATGTGGGCGTCCTGTCCTCTTCAACAGCTCACTCCTGATGACCTAAAGCCTCTCACCAGGCCTCACCTGTTAAAGGTTTCGCTGCCTTCTAAGAACGCAAAGCTGAGAGGATGAATCCTCAAACACACAGGTGTGGGGTTTGACATCCATACTGTTAATATGTGGCTTGTAAGTTTGTTCATTGCTTAGTGTTTAGCTTCCTCTTCTGTTAAAAGTTCTCATCATACAACTAAAAAACAAAATGAAAACAAAATAAAAAGGGACATAACTTCGGAGTCATGATTGTGTCCCCACCTTGTCCTCTTTTCAGTACTAAAAACAGTCTTGTGTTTCTGTGTTACAAACCTATAATATATGAGATGTGATAAAGCACACTATATAACTTGATACCAGTGCAGTCAATAATTTAGAGAAAATAGGTGAACTCCTTGGGGGTGGCTCACCAAAATGGACACAAGATGAAATTAGGAACTTCATTAAAATAGAATTTTAAAATATTTCTATTTCATTTAATAGTCTTCCTATAGGGAAACTGTCACACCACTGATGAATTTATAAAACACTTAAGGAAAAAGTAATGAAGTACCAATATTATAATATTATACAAACACTGTCATTAATCCAGAAAAACCATGATACTATCACATGTCACAGATATTAAAGAAAACAACATCCCTCAAATGTAGATATGAAATCCTTAATGAGATATTAGCAAATTTAATATAGTAATATAGATAAAATTAATGGGATAATATCCAATGACTAGATATGATTTATCTAAGTATATATTGTTGACAGCATTCAAAAGGCACTTACTACAGTTCACCAAATTAGAAAAGATAAACAAATGATCATCTCAGTTGATAAGAAAAAGAACATTTGACAAACTCACTATACATTGAAAACAAAAATTTTCATCAAATGCAGAAGGGAAAAATAATTTTCAACTTGATAAAAAACATCTGTGAGACATAAATAACCAAACAAAACAATACTCCCTCTAAGACCAGAAAAAGCATCCATCCTTACCATTTTTAATCCAGTAATGGAGCTCTAGCCAGTGATATGAATCAATCAATAAAAAAGAAATAAAGAATAGCAATTAAGGGGGGGAAAGCTGTCTCTTTGTAGACCTGAACTATAAGAATTCCCTGAGAACATGTAAAGCAACTGTAAACTTTAAGAGGCAATTTACAAGGCTGAGGAATAGTGACTGTACTTCTGTTGGCTACTGTCATAGCTATCCACCCCAAATATGTATGCTGCAATCCTAACCTCCAGTTCCTCCGGTTTTGACTATGTTTGACAATGTGACCTTTAGAGAAGTAATTAAGGTTAAATGAGGTCATGTGGATGGGCCTAGGTCCATCTGACTGGAAGGATTTTTGTAAGAAGAAGAAATGAGGTACACCCCACACCACCCTAGAACAGCTCTGCACCGAGGGACAGCTGTGTGAAGAGGAAGCAGGAGAATCCTTATTTGCAAGTAAAGGAGAAAGAACTCATAGGAAACCAATCTTCTGGCTTCTCGATCTTGGACATGCAGTCTCCAGAGCTGTGAGAAGACACATTTCTGATATTTAAGCCACTCAGTCTGTGATACTTCGCTATGGCAACTCTAACAAAATAATATGGTTATCAAGGAACAATCAGAAAATAATACCATTTGCAATAGTGTAAAACATATTTAGGAATAAATTTATAGATAGCTAAAATTGTATGTATAAGTACATATGCACTAAAACTAATAAAGCATTGTTGGGAGAAATTAAGGTTAAAAAAACTTTAAATGATGAGATACGTTGTGTTCATTGGTTAGGGAACTATATTATTGTAACAGCAGTTCACTCTAAATTAATCAGCACAGTCTCCACCATGATTTCAGCAGGTGCATTTACGGAAAGTGAAAATCACATTTTATATAGAAATGCATCAGACACAGAATGGAAGAAACAATTTTCAGAAGAATAAGAAAACTGGAGAGTGTATGCATTCTAACTTCAGGATCTACTACAAAGACGTCATTATCAAGAAACACACAGGATATAGATAGACTTTAGGAATAAGTTTTTCAAGTTGGGGAGGTATGTAGAGTGCTAGCCTAGTAAGGGGCAGACAGTGGGTTTTCTCCCTAGCACGGCTGAGTGTGGCATTGGGGGCAGAGGTGAGGGTGAGATAGGAAGTAAGAAAACTTGTACAATCAGCTGAGTCTCCACAGATTCCCTGTGTACTGGTTAGGTTTTCACCTTGGCAAAAACTAGAGTCACCTGGGAAGAAGGAACCTCAGTTGATGAATTTTCTCCATCGGACTGGATCATAGCCATGTCTGTGAGGCATTTCCTTGATTGGTAATTGATGTAGAAGGGCCCGGCCATTGTAGGTGTTGCCCTCCCTGGGCAGATAGCCTGGGCTGCATAAGAAAAGGAGCTGGGCAAGCCAGCAAGCAGTGGTCCTCCGTGTTCTCTGCTTTAGTTCCCACCGCCATAGTCCTGCTTGAACTCCAGCCCTGGCTTTTTCTC